ATATTATTTCATTTTTGAATATTATTAATTAAACTTATTAAAAATTTTCAATAATAATAATTTGTTAATATATAAATACACACATAACATACCTAGTATACTATATACATGGATAAAAATAATCCCTTTTTTTTTTTTTTTCTTTTGATATACCATAAACTTGCAAGAGACAGATATAAAATTCTATTTCCACCATTACGGTAGGAACATTTCTCTTTTGAAGGAGTGAGAAGTTGGTCGAGGGGGGACACCAAGGGGTTCAAGGGAAAAGGAAAAGGGGGAAGGGTAAAAAAATAGCGAAGCTTTTCCTTGGAAGTAATAGTAATAGCTAGCAGTAGGTAGAAGTTGAAGTAGGAGTAGGAGTAAAAGTAATGTTGTAGTAGTAGTAGTAATGGTAGTGGTAAGTCTTCTTAGAGGATGAAGAAGAAGAAGAAGAAGAAGAAGAAGAGAAAACTGGGAACACAGGAATATACTAGACGACACGACACGACGCCAGTGGCACCACCAGCCTATCGATTTGCTCTCACGTTGCCGACGAGATGGACGAACTGAGAGAGAATGAGAGAGAGAGAGAGAGAGAGAGAGAGAATGAGAAAGAGAGAAAAAGAGAAGGGACAAGAACGAAATAGAGTCCAACTTCCGCGTTCTCCTTTGAAATTGGACTTTACGAGCCAACCCCAAAAGAAATATGGGAAGAAGATGAAGAATGAAGGATTTGGGATTATAAGGACACTCAAATCCTCACTCCTTATATTTACACCGTTAAATAAGACTACTACTACTACTATTACTTTCATCTCACCCCCTCTCACGCATTATTGTTAATATTTTTGATTATCAAGTTACATTTTTGATTATTTATTCGAGGTCCTGTTTTATTCGAGGCAAGTGTATTTTGTTATAATGTTAAATGATTATATTCACACCCTTAAATAATATTTTTTTTTCCTTCCCACCTCCACATGATTATTAATATTTTTAATTATCAAATTAAATTCGATTATTTATTCGAGGCAAGTGTATTTTGTTAGAACGTTAAATGATTATATTCACACACTTAAATACTAATTTTTTTTTCCCTCTGACTCCCACATGATTATTTGTATTTTTAATTATGAAATTAAATTTGATTATTTATTTGAGGCAAGTGTATTTAGTTAGAACGTTAAATGATTATAATTATTTTGACGTTAAAGTTAAGTGAACAAAATTCATTTTGCATAGTATATAATATTTGTAG